AGAGTGCAGACCTTAAAGTGGTTCTATTGACAGGAGGTTATTTTTTTTTTACTATAACCCCTTAGTGACTGAGGGTAAAACAAATGTTAATGCCTGAACACAATTTTGAAACTTTGACACGTATTAGTAAAACCGTACATATCGCAATTACTTTGTGCATCCAGGTTTATTATACCGTTTATCAGGACAAATTGGACTTTTTTGGTGTTAAATGGTAATTGATATCTCCCATAACCAACCACCAAAGAACAACCAAAATAAATTCTCCTGCTCGTGACAATCACAGCAGTACAATATATGTGTATGTTAGTTGTTTGTATTTGTAGTACAGTCCAAAAAACAATAGTGCACATTTTGCATTTTTTTCTTACCTAAGACACACTAAAGCACACTGATAGTAAATTAAAAACATGCTTTAAAAAAAAAAAATCCTGCCCAAAATATACTGACCATGACTTTTGACCCTTACTTGACCCAAAAACTAACCTTGGCACTGACCTAGATCAAAGGCTGCACAGTGACTGAATACTATGATAGCCAATCAAAGGCTATCACAGCGACCAGGTGATCCAGAACATGGAGTCCCAGGTACCGATAGTACAAGAGAGCCTGGTCTCTGTGTGCGGCGCACTCCCAGCACAGAGACAGGTATACATATACAGCCCCACAGATAAAAAGCCCATCTCCATGAGGCCATATATATGCGTACAGTCAGTGGGAAGGGGTTAAAGATCCATACACACTAGGCATTTGAAAAAAAAAAATGGCAGAACCTCTGGCAGAAAATGTAGCATAACAAATGCTCATAGTGGCTCGTATTGCACAAGAGTTTATGGGCATTTTCTTTTAAAAGCGTTTTTTTTTTCCAAAACATTTGTTTCTGCTCATTTTTCACTATAATCAATGCACGTGTGAAAATTCCGAACTCTCCTAAACACTGCATTTATGTGCATTTTTTAGTGTTTAAGTGTTTTATTGGCTCAAAAACTACTCTAGAGGACACATCGTTGGAGGGTTTATTTCTGCCTCTAAACTCCCCTGCCACTCAACTCAACATAGAGGGGAGTTTAGAGACAGGAAAAAAAAGCTTGAATACCTGTAGAAGCAACCTTTTTGAGTTGCAGTGTGCATAAGCCCTACCTAATGCATTATCTGCATTCCCCCCAGCCCCCCTAAATAATTACCTGAGCCTGATCTCAATCCAGTGTTGTGTCCAAGAGCAGCAGCAGCACTGTTCTCTTTCTCTCACAGGCTCCGAGACAGACGGGGGAGCCATGGGCTATCTACAATATCTATTTATCATTATAAAAAAACTTTAAAAAAAAAAAATTACCTCTGTTCTCAGCTGCATAAGGGGCTGATGGAGCTGAGGCTGGAGACTGCAGGAGGGTGTGTCAGCAGGAGGCAGTAAAACAGCAGTACACTGATCGTCCCAGTGATATACTAGGGAGGCATGTCACCACACGTCTAACCACTGGAGTACAGGAAGAATGCGCTCCTAAATAAAATGCAAAGAAGAAAACTGACCATTCTAGGATAGATGTACTTCTTTGCCTATCATGGTCAGTTTGAAATAGGAGAGCAGGGGGACTGGCATGGTCACCAGGTATTTCACACAAAGGAAACAATGTATAAAGAACAGGATACTTTTTAATGCAAGTACATGGTAAAACAGACATATCAGGAATATGAAATGTTGGGGCAGCATACACTTTAAAGACACCGTGCTGGAGTGTCTTCTTGTGAAATCTGGGATCTTCGGCTGGGTAACTATATTCAAGGTACTATATATGTGTAACTTTTCTATGAACAAATAAAACAAATCAAACCAAAATATAAAAAATAAATAATAAATAAAAAAATATAAAAATAATGTCCAAAAGTCCCACCGTGTCCAAAAAACAAAACAAAAATAATAAAAAAAAATAAAAATACAAATAAAAATAAAACAAAAAAAGTCCCACAAAAAAATATCCTCACAAGTGTAAACTCAAAACACTTAAACTTTTTCTTCTTCTTGCATCACCACAAACCTTCTTAATACCCGCAGATCCTGATATTCATGCACCTCAAAAAGAAAAAAGAACTCGACATAGTGTCATACCTTAAATAATGTAAAACACACGTGCCACTATATGTGCCGCATGCAAAATCAATGTGTATACTCCAACCAAGTGTCAGAACACATAAGAGTGAAAACACATTCCCATAGAATATGTCATATAATGTGTGAGAAACCACTTCACAGATAAACTGCCAGTGTATCACACTACACCCTATGTATATGTAAAAGTGGAAGCCAACACCCGAATCACCACTCTCCAACTCTAATAAGGATGGGTAATTACCCTATAGAAGAATCAGCAGGGCAGATTAGCCACTCAGGGTTACAATCTCCTCTCATTGATTTTCTCCAACGGTTAGGGTCACCTCCTCCACTTTCCTCCAGAAAACCAGTCAAAATAAAAGGTATTCTTCTTTATTAATAACTCACATAACATTCCGTGGTAACAGCTCCTCACATAATATTCCGTGGTAACAGCTCCTCCTCACAAGCAGTGTGTACATGGACAGGTTCAGGGAAACATAAACCGCATGTTCCCACTTCCAAGATGGCCGCGATCGCACTTCCGGTCAACGTCGATGCGTATGACGTCACGTGTCCCTATTCAAGGTACTATCCTAGAGTGTCTTCTTGTGAGATCTGGGATCCTCAGCAGTTTTCTCCTAACTACATTTTTTTGGAATGTTTTATTTTTTATCATGGAAGATGGGATGGGTCTAAAGGATTAATGAACCCTGACATTTTGATGCAAGGTCCACATTACCAGGACAAGAAAACGGGGGGGAAAAAAAGCGTGGTTTGAAAAGTTGTAAAGCTCATC